TTCGTGGTCCGCGGGCGCGGGCGCGTCCCAGCGTCTCCCCCGGCTGCAGAGCGCGTGTCTGGCCTTTTCAGGGAAAGGTTTCGGTCCGCTGGTTCCGGGCCGGGGTGCCGGCCCTCCGCGACGGTGAGGCGCCCGGAGCTGCCCGGCCTGCGCCCCGCGTCACCCGCTCACCCTCGCCTGACGTGCGGCTCGCGGATGTTTCGCCTTGGAATTCCAGTTTAACTCCGTCGGGTCGCATGGAACGTCAGGAGTTGGCTCAGGCTTTCCCGCGGAGCAAGTCCGCGCCGGCTTGGCTGCGCTGCGCGGGGCAAGGCCGCGGAGGCCCGGGAGCCCTGGGCGCCGCGAAGGCCGGAGCCCGGAGCCTGGTCGTCAGAGTTGGATCCAAGGCTCCTCTGACATGGTGCGGTGCCCGCCGGGTGTTAGGATCTACTTTCTTGGAAGGCCGCTTCCCAGCCTTCCCCCCTCATCCTCTGGCCATCTTTGTTTCTAAAAATGTGTCCGTTTCTGGTAGGTTTTCCTTCTTTTGGGAGTAGAGGTTTTGAAAATAGTCCTTGATAATCATTTGGATGTTTGATGTAATATTTCCTGCGGCATGTCTGATTTTATTGACTTGAATCTCATCTCTTCTTTGTTAATCTTGCCAGTGGCCTGTCAATTTTTATTAATTTTTTTCATCCCCAGCTTTTTATTTCATTGACTATGTAGTTTTTTAGTTTCAATTTAATTGATTTTTGCCCTAATCATTGCGCTCTCTCTCACACTGTCTAGTAGTTTTAGGTTGATTTGTTCTTGATTTTCTAGCAGTTTTCGTTGCATCATGAGGCTATTTTTCTGTTTTCCTCATGTGTGCTCTGCATCTGTAAACTTTCCCCGCAGCCTGCTTTTGCTGTATCCGAGGTTCCATTGTAACATGTTCACTCGCATCGAAATGTAAGAAGTTTCTAACTTATTCCATGACCCAGGTGTTATTCATTGGAGTGTTATTCAGTCTCCATGTCTTTGGGTGATTGCTGTAATACGTTTTGCTGTTGAGAACTAGCTTGATTCCACTGTGGTCAGGTAGGATGCAGGGAGTTATCTCAATCCTCTTGTTAGGTTCTTTGTGTGTCCTATGATAGAATCAAGTTTGTTGAATGTTCCACAGGCTGCTGAGAATAATGTGAATTGGGTTGTTGTTGGTTGGAATACTTTTAGATGGCTAAGTCCATTTGGGTTGTGGTGTCATTTATTTTAGTGTTGTCTTATCTTTTGGTTAGTTGACCTGTCCTTTAGTGAAAGTGGGGTATTAAAATCTCCCACTGTTATTGTGTTGGGGTCCATCCCGTTCTATGTGTCCGAAGGTATTTGTTTAACTTTTTCAGGTGCTCTATTATTTGGTGCATAGCTATTGACCACTGTGATTTCCTCTTCATGGAACATTCCCTTTATTACTATGCATTGACCTTTCTTGAAATGACACAAAGAAGGTCATTAAAATACTCATTTAATGTAAAGTCTATTTTGTCAGCTAACAATATGGCTACTCCCATCTTCTTGCAGAATGTATTATGAAAGATCTTTTTCTCCATACAGTCACTCAGAATTTGTTTTTTATCTTTGACTGTTAGATGGGACTCTTGGAGACAACAAATGGATGGCTCTTGTTTTTTCATCCAATCTGCTCTTCTTTTTCTTTTAATTGGGGAATTGAGTCTGTTAATGTTTAGAGTTATTATGAAGAGATGTGTCATATTTCCTGCCATTTTCTTGATATCCTGTATTTGCTTCTTTCCCCTTCCTGTGCTTATTAAACTAGTCTTCTAGTTACTTTTGTCCAGTGTGTTTCCTTGATTTTGTTTTTGTTTTTTCTTTCAGACTGTATGCTTCCCATTAGTATTCTTTGTAATGCTGGTTTAGTGTTCATGAGCTCCTTTAATTTTGTCATGGAAGGTTTTAGTTTCACAGTAAAGTTTAAATGCTATCTTTTCTGGGTGCACCAGTTTGGGTTGGCAGTTGCTGATCTTCAGAACTTTAATTGTACCACTCCAGGCTCTCCTTGCATTGAGAGTTTGTGTGGAGAGTTCTGCAGTGATTCTGACCTTTCCATTGTGACATTGCTCTTTTAATTCCTTATTTTTTTAATGCAGTGTTTTCACTATAATGTGTGTAGAAGTATTTCTTCTTGAATCCTGTGTACTAGAACTCTGTATGCTTCTATCAGGTAGGTGAGATTTTCTCAATATTGGGGAAATTTTCTGTTATTAGTTTATCGAATAGGTTTTTCAAGTGCCTTTAGTTTTCAATTCTTTGCCCTCATCAATCCCAACTATGCATAAATTCGACCTTTTGGCTGAGTCTTCCAATCCTTAGATTTCCTTTTGCTATGTTCTGAATGTTCTTTCCATGCTTGTGTTTTGTTTTTGCTTTAATTCCTCTGTTTTATCCTCAACTCCAGATGCTCTGTTTTCCACTTATTCTGTTGCGGAGGCATTCAACTGTGATTTGCAATAAGGAAATTGAACCTTTTATGATTCCAAGTTCTTTGTTGAGATCATTTCTCATAGTGTTAATTTCGTCTTTTTTTTCTTTTTCTTTCTTTTTTCTTTTTGTTGGTCGTTGGGGCTGAACTCTGGGCCTGGGCGCTGTCCCTCAGCTCTTCAGCTCAAGGCGAGCACCCTACCACTTGAGTCACAGTGCCACTTAGGGCTTTTTTCTGCTTATGTGGTGCTGAGGAATTGGACCCGGGGCCTCATGCATGCGAGGCAAGCGCT